TCCCCTGCTTGTGCTCACTCTCACTCTCTCTCTCTCAAAGAAATATATAAAATCTTACCAAAAACATCCATGGATGTAGGCAAAGGTATATTCATAGCTCTAAAATCTCTTCTTGAACTTAAAAAAATTCAATTAATTGCACATTTTGCATTACACATTTATTTCTAAAAACAAGAGGATAAATACAATGAAGACCTACACAAGTACTGAGTACTCAGCATCCCAAAGGGCCTTAGGAGTCTACATATATCATTGCAGCATGCACTGAATAAATGTCTTCTATACACGTATAATTCTACTTGTATAGAGAGCTACTTTTGTGGTTAACAAAATAAAACATAGCATAATTTCTATAAGGATGAGCTTGGGAGTGAGAAAGATTTGACTAAAATCTCAACTCTAGTTGCTCAAATCTTTGCTAGTATGACCATGATCAAATTATAGAATTTTTAAAGTCTCAGTTTCAGCATCTGTTCAAGAGAGGTATTTAGATAGTACTTTCTTAGTAAAAAAAGTTCTGAAGATTAAACAAAATAGTCTGTATTTTGTGCTGGCTACAGTACAATGGTGAACACCATTACATGTTGAATAATACTATTATACGTATTTTAAATAGCAGCACTTCTTCTAATAAGACCAGTAAATTACATATGAGAAATACAGTAAATTAAAGGACACCAGCCTAAGTAAGACTTAGTCTAGGATTGAAAGATTGATTTGATGTGAGATAATAATTTATATATATATATATATATATATATATATATATATATATATATATACACATACAGGGGACTCCAGGATCACGCTCTGGGCTGAGGCAGGTGCTAAACCTCTGAGCCCCCTGGGGCTGCCCAAGCACCATCTTTAATATATGATAATGTATCTATCTTTTTTTTTAATTTTATTTATTTTATGATAGAGAGAGAGAGAGAGAGAGAGAGAGAGAGAGAGAGAGGCAGAGGGAGAAGCAGGCTCCATGCACCGGGAGCCCGACGTGGGATTCGATCTAGGGTCTCCAAGATCGCGCCCTGGGCCAAAGGCAGGGGCCAAACCGCTGCGCCACCCAGGGATCCCATAATGTATCTATCTTAAATAGTAAACAGGTTACCTAGTAACAAGATGTAGTGTCACTCTCATAAATGTAGCAGTGAGAAAGAGGCTCATCCACATCCACAACATATTTTATAACATTGTCCCAGAAAATTTAGCCAAAGTAATAATACAGGATAAAAAAAAAAAAGCTATAAACTTTGGAGAAAGGGGAGATAAAATGTTAAGAATAAGTGCGTAGAGGGACACCCGGGTGGCTCAGCTGTTGGGCAGCTCCCTTCGGCTCCAGTGGTGACCCTGGGATCTGGGATCCAGTCCCACATCCAGCTCCTGCAAGGAGCCTGCTTCTCCCTCTGCCTATGTCTCTGCCTCTCTCTCTGTGTCTCTCATGAATAAATAAATAAATCTTAAAAAAAACCAAGTATGTAGAAAATATAAATAATTTTAAAGACATATAAGAGTAAATGGTCTTTCTATATTTTCTCTTACCACTACTTAGAAAATATAATGAAGATTTCTAATAATAGGGACAAAATATTAAATGTATGAAATAATAATATTCCTATTTTTAAAAGATGACAGCATCTACAAATCTTATGATGAGCCTAGTGTTAATACTTTAGAATATAGACTGTTAACATTTAATGAATGCCTACAAAATGTTAGACAAATGTTTAACCACTCTTCTTGCAACAATTTCTTCAATTATTTTTAAAATGATGTGATTTTGGTATCATTGTTTACCTCATTTGACTGAGGAAGACCTGAGATTGAAGAGATGAAGCCACCCACTTGCACAAAAAGACACACCTAGTGAATCCTAGAGCTGAGACGTGAACTTGTTTACTCTGATCACTGTCCCATACTGACCTCCAAAGCAAAAATGGCTGATTGCTAACTCAATGCCCAGTCTCCTCTTTTCTTTATGAATAGACACAGGATTCTGTTTGGAGTGAGAACGTGTCTACTGGAAAAAAATATATATAAACAATGTGGGCAGACTCAGCTAATCCATATATATACATACATATTTTTTCCCTTTCTCCTTCTAACTGCCCAAAAATATAAATGGTATTTTAAAAGTGGAGCAGCTTTCCTGCAGCCATCACACATGAGGAGCATGCAATGGCAATATTCAACACCAGAGGCAAGGATATAGTGAGACAAGGACCCTTATAGACTTCATTTGGGAGCAAGATAGTTACAAACTGTACTGGAAGGCAATTTGGGAATGAAGGCATGATATTTAAAATATTTTGCCTACTAGTAGTATCTTTCCAAAATTCCCAATAATAATAATACTATCCTCAATTAAATCACTGTACATCCAAGTAATGGGATATCATTTCAATATTTAAAAAATGTTTTTGAAGATGAGTAAATTGCTTAGGGAAATATTTATACATTATTTGGTGGAAAAATGCAAAACTGCTAATTGAGATATACTAAAAGATATTTTAAGCATGTGTGTGTATGTGAGCATTCCAATATAATATCATGTTTTACTGGGGATGGGAGAATTTTCAAATGTTTTACAGTATTTCAAATGATTGCTAATAATCATACATGACTGTCATAACAGGTAAAATATTTCTTTAAAGCTAGATTCTAAACTCATTAGACATTTCAATCAAGATATCTTTTGAAAGCTGTGGGGGGAAATAAATCTAATGTTAAAGCAACCAGTTCACCAAATATTCTGAAAATAGAATAAAAAAGGATGGTATGAAAATGGTATGAAAATTACCAGTTGTACAAGGGTGCTGGCATTTGGCAACGTGTCCCATGTGACTGACAGATGTTTCCCACTTGAGTGCAGAGCCTAGAATTGAGGTTGTCATGGACCTGAATTGTGTTCCGAACTTGGTAACTATGGGAATAAGGACAAATGGAGGTTGCTTTTTATCTAGCTGGTATGGACAGAATTGTTTATGCTACTTTCTACTGAACTCACAACAATGTGGAAAAGTTGTTCCACTTCTCTTCACTCACACGAATGTTTTCATTGAGAAAGAAGATGAGAATAGAAGCTCGACAAAACCCCATCAACCTCAATTGTCTGCCAACTCAGTGCTTAAGAACTTCCAGAAAGAAAAGATTTCAAAGTATGAGTCACAAAAATAAATAAATAAATAAATAAATAAATTTGCTTACTTCCAAAAGTAAAGATAAAGGTAGAATGGCATCATTTACCTTGAAAAAACATGGCAGCAAGAGAGAGTACAGATCCCTCTAGACCCGGAGTGACAGCATTTGGCTCTGTGTCTCTGTTCTGCTATTAATTAGCTATTGAATTTTTGATAAGTAGCATATGTTTACTGAGCTTTATCTCCTCCCTTTGATGAGGAGGAATAATGATATCTGCTTTATTTACCTATTTCTTCCTTTGTTAGAAATACTAAATGAAACAATGTATATAACAGTACCACTTGGCAAGTAAATTATTTCAAATACAGTATTTAATGTTATATTGCCCAGTATGGCAAAAAGTCAAGGTCTGCTGGCTCCCCCCACCCACCCCAATGATTTACTCTCATAGGTACAATTTCTTCAATCATCTAAAAAGCCTCATTCAATATGTCCTTTACATCTCTGCCCATGTATCCTATCACCTGATGGCTAGCTCACGCCTCTCCGCTCATGTCCACCCTACCCTGATCCTTGAACATACCACAGATACTGTTTTGGAATTTCCATCCAACCATCTCCTCTCATTGAAACACTCATACCTCAGAAATCTAATGATTACATATTCAAAACTTCCAAGTCTCTGACATCCTCATTACCGAGGTCTACCTTCATCACATTCATTAAAATGGCATCCTGCCACTCGGTCATCTCAATCCTTTTTTATGCTTATTTTTTCCTAAATAGTAATTATTATTAGCCACCATTTTAATTGTCTTATGTATTTGTTGTCTCACACGACTACATTGTAATCTGTAATGCCAATTTATTTTTTGCTTTGGGAACTACATTTTCCATAAAATGTGTTACTGGGATTAATATATCAGATAGTTATCATTTTAAAATAAATTAATAAACGTTTTTAAATTTTCTGTTTTAATTCCTAGCACAAAAAATGTTGATATATTTAACCTTTACAGGCAAAAAACAGTGAGGACCTTCCATACTTTTTTGGTATAGAGTCCTGAGACCAAAAAGTTTGAGAACTGCAGACTTCAATTACTACTTGGCATTCACCACAACGATTGAAGATAAGCTTAAGCTATCACCAACTTTCTTAAGCAAAATATCCAGATTAAAGGTCTACATATATACATTCAAAAATATATCATACAATACAAAAATAATTCATTTGTTTGGTTAAGAATATTCTTCTAATTTGAATTCTATGTTTCTATGATCTGAAATGGGCTTCACCATGGAATCCCAGAGGAAAATTATGTGACTTTAACACTCTTAGAGTACCATTAGAATTGTGCAGGATGATCATGAAAATGTATAGGTATTTGCTACCTGCTTCCTAATCTGTTCTGGACCTAAATATTGATAGTCTTGAGTCTCAATCAATAATGAAAATGTTTGCAGCCCTGAATAATAAAGAGCAATATTGCACATAATTATAGCAGGAGCTTCCATAATAAATACTGCTATATTAATACCAAAGGACCAGGAAAGTAAATGCTTATCAGCATATGGGAAGCATAAGATGCTAAGAAAGTGGCCTGCCAGGGTAATTTAGCAAGTAGGTTTAAAATCTTCGTGCGGCTAGGAAAAAAATGAATTTCATTTGCAAGTAGTTTTAAGTTAATAAGCAGTAAAATTATCCCTGTGTTTTTTTAGTCATAAAACATAAACCATACTAATTAAGTGACATATACTTGCAGCTATGTCTGCTTTCTATCCAACTTGATTGACCACACAAGTTTCATTGTAAGCAGAAAAAGAATCAACTTCACTTAATATGAGAGTACCTTGTAATTTTAAAATCTTCTTGACTGAGGAATGTCCACTTTCCAGCCAGATGCTTCCTCCGGGTCTCCTCCTACACCTTGCTCTGGGCGGCCGTGGGTGGAGAGCTTGACTCCCAGGAGCTGCATCATCCCCCTACACCCCGAAGGCTCCAGCTCAGTTTTGTTTTGGCCAACATGGCAGCAGCAGAGAACTGGTGAGTTGACAAGACAGAGAGAAGGAAGGGAGGAGGGGGAGAGAGAAGAGAGAATTGTTCCTTCCTCTCCCTGTTGCTGGGCTGCAATTTTTTCCAGTGTTTTTGGTTGCTTTCCTTGGGGATCAAATGCCCACATCTGCAGCTCTCCCCACGCACCACGTCCCAACCATGATCCCAGATTGGTTGCTCCTTTGGGTGGACCTGGTAGTAAAAGCGTCTGGACCTTCCTGGTGCCAGGATACTTCACCAAACCCTTGTTGGCGTCTCCAGTGCTAGTGCTATCTCCATCTCTGTAAATAGACTTTACATTGAACTTTCATTAGACTTTCTGGAGTTAATGTGACTTTGGGTCTATCCTGTCGACTGGTTCTCTCAGAATCTTTCTACAGTTCAGTGTGACCTTCAGATGCCATGGGAGGAGATTTTTGACCCACGAGGTTGTTATTTGGGAAAGCAAACTGTTAATGAAAATGTATGAAGGGCCTCACTTATTCCCACTCTAAGCAATCAGGTTTAGTATATGTGGGACTAGCCAATAAAACCATCCAACCAGGCTATTTTTATCATTCTGTCCACAATACATAAAAGGACAAAACTTATGCTGAGTTTTAAGTTTTGCTATATCTCAAACAAATTAGATATATGATATATGTTGAAATTAATACGAGTGGATTAGGTATCAAAAAGTAAATGTCAGCTTATTTAATATGTATTTTTACTAAAGAGGTAAATGACAAGATGCATAGGTTCCTTGATGGTGCAAGCGTCATCTCAGAGAAATTGACAGGTATGGTGCAAATACTGTTTATTTTTTTAAAAAATCTAACAACAACAATAATATTCTAAGAACTATTCATTTATTGGTTTACTTAACTTCTTAAGAACTCTAACCTTCCTCCATTTGGGAGGAAAGGACTTGATCACAAAAAGATTAAGCAACTTGCCCCAAATCCCACAGTCGATGGGCAGAGCTAGAAATAGAACAAGAGTTAAAAGTAATTAAATTGGCCTTTGTATGTGTCCTTTATTTCTTTTAATAAAATTAATACATTTCAAAGTGTTTAAGAAATTGTCCTTTTGAGGTATAACTAAAATTGTGTGACCTATAGTAAGCAATTTTATTGTACTTTTACCCAATTATATTTTAGTTAAAGTAATTTTTACTAGAATAGGGCACCTGGTGGCTAGGTTGGTTAAGCGTCTGCCTTCGACTCAGGTCATGATCCCAGGATCCTGGGATCGAGCCCTGGAATCAGGCTCCTTGCTCAGGGGGGAATCTGCTTCTCCTTCTCCCTCTGTCTTTCCCCCGTCTGCTCCTGTGCTCTATCTCTTTCAAATAAATATTTAAAATGTTTATTAAAAATTTTGTACTAGAATGTTATTTTAATTTGCTCTCTTATTATTTTGTTTCAGTTTAAGAGAAGAAACATAATTATCAATGCAACCATATCACAATTAAAGATAAATTTAAAAAAAAAAGAGTCCTGTGATATCTAAAAAAATATATACGTCACCGGTGTCTCTAGCTCACCCTTTCTTTATTGCTGACTCTGTTGACTCACCAAATATTCAGAAGATGGCTGGGGTGTGTGTGGTACTGTCCTGTGCCAGTAGTATAAAGGGAACAATACACATACTCTTCCTGGCTCTTGGGGACGCATTATGTGGGAGATAAATGCAAACAAAATCACTACATCTGTAATCATTATCATGAAAGAGGGACTTAAGAAAAAAATAAAAGTGAACTTTCTGAATCAAGAAAATGAGGCTACATCTTTCTGGGTTGAATCTAGACCCAAAGGAAGAAGAGATGTTGTCTAGAGAAGAGTGGAGTTGGCTAAAGGACGACATTCCAAGGACACAGTAAACTTGCAGAAAGAAAGGTCTATGGGGAGGGGAGTTCAGATTTTTCTGTGAAGTAAAAATTCATCGTTTTCTCTGGAATTCAGAATGTCCAAGATACTGAGGCTTAGATTATATGTTTTCAGAAGGAAAGTAGATTATTTTGCATATTCAGTTTATGAGACAGAAATATTAAGAAACTCTCCTTCCAGTTTCTAATGTCAAAGTCATGGTTCCAGCCTGTGTAAAGTCACTGACTTTCATTTTCCATATTCTCCCATTCCAGAGGAAGAAGGCAAAACAAAGAGAACTGAACGGAGCTGAAACAATGTGGCAAATTTACTTTGAAAGAACTGTCTTAAAAATTCCGGTCAGGAAATTTATCCGTGGAAAAAAACAAGTAACAGATGGAGAATGGGGTACATTTTATCATGAAATTATAATGATGTAATGAGAGCTACAATTAATGAATATCTGGGGGCATTTCATATATGTATTAATCTTTACAAAATCTTTACACTTTTAGTACTTCTATACACTCTTATAGGTGAGGAAACTGAAAAGTTACATGACTTACCCAAGTTTTAAACCTTTACATAGCAGTACTAGCATCATAAACATGGCTAGTCTGACTCGAAAGTCCTTGCTCCTTCTACTGTACCACTCAGAGATGAAAAATTCATTCTCTTAAGCAAAGTTCAGTGTTTACATGGGAAAGAAGTAGGAAGGGCTGTCAATTACAGATCTAAAATACATAGCAATGTATCAAATTCAAAGTTACTCTAAATTTTTGTGTCAAATAAATAATCTTAGAAAAAAAGAAGAATCTACAATAACTTTGAATTTGATAAATAAATACATACAGACATACATACTTTTTAAAGAATATCTGTATGTCATTACTATCTACCAGGGTATATATGCTAAATGCTTTACATCAATGATGTCAAAAAACCCAACACTGTTAGATAGCAATGATAGTGATGATAGTGATGGTGATGGTGATAATATCCATTTTACAGGTGAGGACCCTGGGTAAACATCTCCATTCACCGCAACCCTGTGCTGAACTTAACAAACAAGATTTCAGGGATAACTCTGACACTCAGAATTCTAAGAATATTCCCTCAGGAAATTATCAGTTCACATCTTAGCACAGGAATATTTTCTTGCTCCATGCTAGTGACCACCCAAAGAACACAAGAAAATATTATATTCATATTTGAAGCTTAAAAAACAACTCTAAGTAATGGGGCCATGAGACCTGATTATCATCCATCTGTGGCAATTAGGCTAATGGCTTCCATTCTAAGAAGAACTATTGCTTTGGCATCTCATTTATTTCATTATACAAGCTCATTTTTCCAGCTGTGATCATATGCTGACTGGGATATGCATAAATGAAAATCACGGAGTTCTAAATGCCATAATATATGTATTGGTTTGAAATCTAACACCTTGGGGACTTCATGGGAAATTACTTCTGGTTCAGAAATATTTTAATGACCTTGGCTCTGAAATGCTCTTAGGTGGCCAATTCAAGCAAGAGCTGATGACATTAAATGAGAGAGTAAAAATTAATTGGTTTTGAGCATGAAAATGAGTAAATATAAATTTATAAATGGAATTTATAATGTGTGGGATGTTAAACTAAAATGTAATACAGGATGACAGTCCAGAAGTACTGTGTTATTTCAACTTTTATTAGATCTTTATGTTTCCTTTGATCCAATCACTCTATCCCCTCCCCTTTCCTATTCTCTGTGTAGCCTGCACCTGGCATAAATTCACTCTTCCGTATGCCTCTCTCTATTAGAAAGCACTAATAGACAATAATACATTTGCTCCCTTCACTTAGTCCACTGCTTTCCCTTTACTACTCACTTCATGATTTTAAAAATGTACACTTTGAATAAAAGTAATATAATTAAATTGTTTACAGATAAAATTATTGAATTAATGCAGAGCTATATTGATAAAAGTATGTATATGTGTTAACAAATATAAATGGAAATATAAGAATTAGCACCAAGAAAATATTATTGATTCATTTCAGAAAAAGAAAATGAAAACACTGAATTTATTTGCCACTTCTAAAGACTTAAGAAGAAGAAAAAGAACACTATTGAATTTTGCAAGTGTATCTGAAGGCCACAAATAAGTTACTATGTATGTAGAAAGCTAGCTCAACCAAGACTTGTACTGATAATATTTTATCATCTATATAAAAACACATTTAGTCCTGGATTTCAGAATGAATAGATAGGTAAATTAAGAAAGTATTAATTTTTCCGACTTATTGAATATATTAGAATATTCTCAATAAGAAATGTGTATACCCCCAGGGATTTATTAAAGAATCATGACCCAGGGATCCCTGGGTGGTTCAGAGGTTTGGCGCCTGCCTTCAACCCAGGGCCTGATCCTGGAGTCCCGGGATCGAGTTCCACGTCGGGCTCCTTGCATGGAGCCTGCTTCTCCCTCTGCCTGTGTCCCTACCTCTCATTCTCTCTCTCTCTCTCTCTCTGTGCCTCTCATGAATAAATGAATAAAATCTTAAAAAAAAAAAAGAATCATGACCCATAAAGAATTTATATTTGCCCTGCCCTGCTCTTCCTCTGTTGAAGACCACTGTTGTTGGGAGCATGCCATGAGTTCAGAGGGTCAAAACTAGTGAGGAGATTAAGTGTGGAACTACTCAACCTAAATCACATTTGAAAGAATGAAACATTGTTAGAATCTGCCATCTTTTGGGATATTGTTGAAGAAATTGTTTTGAAATTGAAATGTAATGATGTACATAAGGAGTAGTGAAGGGTTTTGCAGCATCCTTCTTCCCATAGAGGCTCAGCTCAGATAATCCAGCTACCACCCCTAAGGGATGGATCTCTGTTTTGATGAGGACAAAAATGTCCTGAACCCCACTGGAAAAAAAGGGAAGCTGACCTTTATTGATTTATGTTAATAGTTACGGGAATTCTGTAGTGATAGTGGTTGTTTTTCAATTATTTAAATGATAATGTAACACCTATTCAGGATAATTTTTTGTGTGTATACATTCATAATAAAGGGATGGGCAATGTTGGACAACAAATATATATTTATAAATATATACGTACATACATGAATTTTTACAAAAGATATCATACTATAGAACTTATTTTGTAATTTGTTGTATGTGAGTGTTCTACTTAATAATGTGGTAGGGATATCTCTTCATATCTCTACATATAAAGCTCTTATTCTTTTTCATTTCAAAGTAAATATTATTCTATAACATTAATATACAGTGGGAGGGAGGGCATGTAGTTCTCAAGTGTTCTAACTGCTAACTTGAGTACTTACTCAATTGCTGATTCTAGACGCAAGCATTCACATTCAAGGTCAGTCACTTACTTGTGTAATAATTTAGCCTTTTTTTTTAGGTTTTATTTATTTATTCATGAGAGACACCGAGAGAGGCAGAGATATAGACAGAGGGAGAAGCAGGCTCCCTATTGGGAGCCTGATGTGGGACTTGATCCTAAGAACCTGGGATCATGCCCTGACCCAAAGGCAGATGCTCAACCCCTGAGCCACCCAGGTGTCCCTAATTTAGCCATTTTTAAGCTCTTTGTGCCTAGGTTTTCTTACCCATAAAATGGTAATAATACATCTACATCAGAACATCATCTTGAGGATTAAAGGATTAATTCTTTGTATTCAACAAATATTCAACAAATATTTACTGAGACCCTACAGTGCACGAGACACATCTAGGAACTTTTGATCCTAGACAGAACAAAGCTGACAGTGATTTCTTTCTCTCTCATGGAACTGACGCTGTAGCCAGGGGATACAGAAAATTAGAAAAGTAAAATAAATATGTAGGTTCTAGGGGTGCCTGGGTGGCTCAGTGGGTTAAGCAGTTGCCTTTGGCTAAGATCTTGATACCAGGGTTCTGGGATAGAGTCTCATATCAGGCCGTCTGCTCAGCGGGAAACCTGTTTCTCCCTCTCCCTCTGCCTGCTTTTGCTCTCTCTCTCTGTCAAATAAATAAATAAATAAATAAATAAATAAATAAATAAATAAATAAATAAAATCTTAAGTATGTAGGTTATATAGGATGTTACAATAAGTACTACACACAATAGAAAAAGGAGAGCCTAGTCGAAGGCAGCTGGACTCCCTGTGGTGGGAGAACTTTCCACTTAAATAACTGCTTAGGATAGTCATCCTAGGCATGGTGGTATGAGTAATGACTTGAAGTGTTGAGTTAGGAGAATATTAAGAGGAAGAGCTGACCAGCTGGATGGTACAGGTGATGCAAAATCTCAGTGTCTTTCTGAGCATAAACTGCCTGAGGAAGAACAAGGAGGGAGGGAGGCCTGAACACAGTGGGTGAAGAAAGTAGTAGAAGATTAGGTTATAGAAATAAGAAGGCCAGGGAGGACCAATTTGGTAAGTCATTGTAGAACACTACATTCATTGCAGAACTCACAGCAGAGTAGTGACATCATCAGATTTATGTTTTATTTTTTTAAAGATATATTTATTATTTATTTATTTATTTATGAGAGAGAGAGAGAGAGAGGCAGAGACACAGGCAGAGGGAGTAGCAGGCTCCCCATAAGGAGCGTGATGCGGCACTCGATCCTGGACCCCGGGATCACTCCCTCAGCCAAAGGCAGATGCTCAACCACTGAGCCACCCAGGTGTCTTTTTTTTTTTTTTTTTTAAGATTCATTAGATTTATGTTTTAAAAGATTCCTTTGGCTGCTATTTGGGTAATAGTCCATAGATAGGTGGAGAACAAACTTAGAAATACAAAGCTAATTAGGAAGCTACTACAGTAACAGGATTAGTATCAATGGTGCCTCAGACCAGGATATTTGTAGTGGAAGTGGTTGGAAGTTATTAATTTTTTAAATATAATGTAAAGGCTAAGAAAATAGGATATGCTGATGAATGGACTTTAGGGTGTGGGAGAAAGTAAGTATTCAGGGATAATTTCAAATATTTTGGCCTTAATACCTAGAAGCATGGTGCTGTCATCAGATGGAAATGGGGAAAACTCCGGGAGAAGGAGATTTAGCAAAGAAAGCCAGGAGTTAAATTTAGGTCATGTTAAGTATGCAGTCTACCTAACATCCAACAGAGATGTGGAGAATTCAGGTGTCAAATAACGTAACTGACAATTGGAAATGGATTTCAGAGATACTCTGGTATAAGCGAATTTTGTTGGTTATGCCACAGGTTCCTAAGGAAGATGATTCTGATGCCTCCTGAACAACGAGTACTAGGTTAGTTGATGCAAAAATCTTTTAACCACATCTGTAGCTTCTAGCCATGTATGCAGGGCAGAAATAGGAGCTGACAGTTATTGAATGCCCACACAAATGCCATCTACTGCTTTATTAAATTCCATCAGATTCCTTAGATCCCTACCATGTCAAAGCACTAGGCCTAGTCACTGGAAAATAAATAATAGAAGGAATCACACTTACCACTCATTCAGACTCTGTGAGAGCTTCTGGGCTCTGATGGAATCCATATAGATCAAGAAAAAGAGTCAGCTGAAGCCCGTAACAGCAGACCCCTCTGAGTGTAGTGACCTGGATGTGACAAAGCCATAACTGAAGCGTCTGTGAAAAGAGACCTAGGAAAAGAAAGGCAACTCTTGTATTGGCCCACCCTCTGAAGAGACTTTCATTTTCACTATCAGACTTAAGGTAACCAGAGATTTGGTGTTGCTCAATAAAATGGTCATACCTTATTCTACATCTTTCTTGATTTAACACCATTATTTGACAAAGTTGATACTTCATTAATGGAACACCATTCTCTCTTGGTTGCTGCTCCTCCTCAGTATCTTTACTGTTTACCAGTCCTACCTCCACTATTGCCAACTAGCTCTTTCCTCAGTTTCTCCAAGAGCAATTGCAACCCTCTAAATTTCCCAACCCAGGGACACCTGGGTGGCTCAGTGGTTGAGCAGCTGCCTTTGGCTCATGGCGTGGTCCTGGTCCCTGGATCGAGTTCCACAATGGGCTCCCTGCGAGGAGCCTGCTTCTCCCTCCATGTTTCTGCCTCTCTCTGTCTCTCATGAATAAATAAATTTTTTTTTGAAAATTTAAATACATAAATAAATAAATAAATAAATAAATAAATAAATAAATAAATAAAAATAAATTTTCCCACCCAAAGCACCTGGCCCTTAATTCTCCTTTCTATGATATACTCCACTCATAAGCAAATCCTATTATCAAGGATAATACATTCAGAATCTAGTCCCTCCCAATACCTCCACTCCTACCAGGGTCCAAGCAACTACCGGTTTTTGCTTAGGTTTGTATAACAACAGACTTTTAGAGATTTCCTCAGTGTCCTTAATCTCCTTCCCACCAGTTGATTCTTAACACAGTGCCAGAGTGCTTCTTTAAAAATGTAAGTCAGATGATTTCATTCCCTCACTCAAAATCTGTCAGCAGTTTTTAATCTAATTCATAAAAAAGTCTTATGTAAACTGACATTATCTCCTATTGCTTCAAGACTTTTTCATTGAGCTTCACCCACACTGATTTCTTATTATTTCTGAAATATTCTAATGTCACATCATCTGAAATGCCTCAGAACATTTGCACCTACTTACCTCTACCTGGAATGTTCTTTCTGACAGTGTCATGTGAATCACTTTTCACTTTCTTCAACTATCTGGCCATCTACTCTCTCCTCGGTAATTCCTTTTTTATGACCCAACATAAGATGACAATCCCCTTCCAGCCTATCCTTTTTACCTGCTTTAGTTTTCTCAGTACCACTTGTCTCCGTGAGAAATATCTTGCATGCACATTTTTAGTAGCCTGTCATTCTCCTCCCACTAGGATTTAACTTTCACAAATGCAAGGACTTTGATCCCAGTAAATAATTGTTAAATTAATGAATAACTTCTTCTTTGAAATGATGCCTGTATTTATTCTAATTATTCAACAGGGAATTTCTCTCCTGATTTTCTCTTTAAAAAACTGTTCTTAAGCCTATTATTAGATTGAATATCCAGATGGCCAGGTGAGCTATGTGATTTTTGTCCTCTCTGCCCGCCTGCGTAAGATCCAATGCACAGTCATATCTACCTGCGAGGCTCCTTGGAGACTCCATATTTTCTTCTTGATTACTGAAGATTTGAAAATTATATTTTAGGGTGGAAAGAGTCTGGTAGTGTTTTGGAGTATTAAAAACCAGGAGAGGCATGAATATTTAAAGGCTGTATAAAGCATCATTTCATCACCCTCATCTTCCATCATGATTGCTTTTGTGGCCGTAGCTAACATTTACTGAGAATTTGCTATATTACATACATGGTTCTCAATGTTCTATGTGGACTTACTTGTTTAATCTCAATAGCTCTATATGGCTGGCACTACCAACCTACTTTACAGATTACTTCTATTTTACAGACTATGTAACAGAAACAAAGCAGTTTGACTCACACTTTTTGTAATATAAACATCCAACCTGAAGGTGGTTAGTTGTTAACAGGAATTCAAATAATGAGCAATAACCTTTACTACGAATCTATGGCTATTAAAAGAGAAGAGGAAAAAAAAAAAAAAAAAAAGAAGAAGAAGAGGTAGGTTTGTGTTCAAGATGCCAGTATGGGAAGATCCTGAACTCCCCTCCTACCTACAAACACTTCCAATCTCCAGCTGCATATGGAACAGTTTCCTCTGGAAAATATCTAAAATCTAGTGGGGCAACTCTTTCATATCAGGCAAAGGAGAAACACACACACACACACACACACACACACACCCCAAAACAGGTAGGAGAGACTGAGACACAATCCTGCCACAACCTGCTCCCTGACTGACCTGCTCACCCACCTAACCTACATGGTGACCCACAATCAGGAGAGAATTCGAAACCCAAAGCTTCTCTCTGAGGAATAAAATCCTCACCCCGTACATTGGGCACTCCAAATGATAAGAGAGATGAGCCCCCAAAACCTCTAGCTTTGAAAACCAATCATGCTTATTCCCAAGAGACCCGTGGAGCTGTGGCAAATTAAAGGACTTCTAAGGGGCTCACACAAAGACTTCCTGGGCTCAATACAGGAGCAGCCTTTGACAAGTGACCAGACTTGATATGAAGGAGGCTCATTTGCTCATTTTACAGCATTGCACTGAGGAGCTGGAATATTCTTCCAGCAATGAGGTTGGTGGGCACCATTTTTGTGTTTTCTCTCTGCCTTACTAAGGCCAGCAGGTACCATATTTCTTTTTCTTTCTTTTTTTATTTATTCTAGGATTTAACATTTTGACATTATTATTATTAATTATTATTATTTACTCCAGACTTTTTGTTTTTCTTGGAGGCATCATGTTTTTTTGTTCCTCTAGACTTTCTTTTTTTTTTTTTCCCTATCCATGGATGTCATTTTTATACTCTAGCCAATGGGTGACATCTTTGTGCCTTCTCCTTGTCTTGTTAAAGCCAGTGCGTGGCTTTTTGTTTTTTGCTTCCTTCTTTTTTCCTTGGATGCCATTTTTGTACTCCCCCCTGCCTTGCACCAGAATGCCAGTATCTCCTGCAGGGGAGCTTCTACAGGGAAACATTTGATTCACTGGTCATTATGTCTGAGGACCCAGTTTTTGCGGTTGTAGCCCAGAACCTTGACTGTCTGGTTCTGGAGGCCAGAGAGGCTTGCATCCCTGAGTCCCATGGGACTATAATAACAGAAAGACAGTTCTCGGCCGACTGTCACCCTCAGGGCATTGCACAGAAGGCCAACTAAAACACAGCCCCATCTTTCTGAGAAAGAGGCCTCTTTGCTTATCTATGAGCTTTGGCCTGAGGGGCAGGCTTCCGGTTTGGCATACTTCAAGGAGACTGTGGACGTGTTCTCAGGGAACAGAGGCTGATGGATGCAATCTACTGTCCCTCTGCTTCGCTCCAGCTCTCTGGTAGCTTCCAGAAAGAAGTTTGTACTCTTGTCTGATGCTCTGATTTTTGTGACTGTTGCCAAGGGGACACTTCCAGATTGCCTGGCTCTGCAGCCCAGAAGGGCTTGTGAACTTGTGAATACAATGCTAAAGGATGGTATATATTTGCATTCTGTAAAAACTGCTGCCTGAGGAACGGGTTTTCAGTCAGCCTGAATCCAGGTGCTGATTGAAATCCTTCCCTTTGGGACATCAGCAGGGCTTAGCACACCCTCAAATTCTGGAGCTATTCGAAATAATATAGGCTGCTAGTGAATTACAAAGGTTTGAGAGATGACCAAGAATTAGTGTAGACTTGAACATTAAGTTGTTATCTTCTACCAAAGGGCATTCCTTCAAGACGGGGGTCATGGCTGTTTTTCATCTAATGAATAGAAGCCAACATAGGGTCAAGCAAAATCAAGAAACAGGAATATGTTTCAAATGAAAGACAATATAAAACCTCAGAGGAAAACTTTAATAAAAAATACTTTACTGATAGAAGAGGAAATCCACTGGCCCCCTGTGGGGATGAGGAATGGCCAACCCACAGTTGGCACATCCTTAGGAGCCTGGGGACCAGCTAACAGAGCAAAAGACATATACTTCATTTGAAGTATTACAATTTCTGATCCTTTGTTGTTAATTGTATCTCAACAGTCTTGCCAGTCTCAGCCAAAAAGCCTAAAATGCTCATCAGTTGTGGAATTCTAAATCCTAGCTCACCAAATATCTACTTCGCCAGATCCTTTGGGAAGCGGAAGTAGTCATTTCCATCTTCTCAATACTGAATTGGCTTACCTAATCACCCGTTTTATCACTGATTGGTTACAGGCCTGTAAATCAGTAGACGGGGACCAGGTATCACCATCTGAAATATGTCTCTATTTTATTTGCCTTTTCACCTTCTGCCATGCTTTGCAAAACACACAGGTGTTGGGTCAATAAGACCTCCTTAGATGGGAAAAAAAAAAAAAAAGAGAGAGAGAGAGAGCGAGAGGAGAGACCCCTTTAAATGGCTAACAGCATCCCAAGCTAATAGCCAGAAACATGAGAGACCATTTCCAGAGGTATTCACTATGAAAAGTGAGATGAATCATCAGCATTCCACAAATAACCCAGGGCTGAAGCTTCTACTAATGAAAGTCACCTATGTAATACACAAGGTTAAGTATCTCTCACAAGAAGAAATGATAACTCACCTTGTTCAATTTGTGGAAGAGCAGAAATGATGATAAGGTCACCAGCTGGTATCATTCTTCTTATGAAACCTTTTTTTTAAGAAATTAGTTGTTTTCATAAGGACAAAAGCAAATGGACACAAGTAAGAAAATCAATAGAAAAAAAAAAAGATGTGCTCAAGATATCAGCCCCATCTATCCACAGAATTCTAGCATTATTATAATTGAATACATGTCATCCTTTTGATTAAAAAAGTGGGGTTTGCAAAACTTAATGGTCTGAAATTCCTTTCAGTTTCATTTGTCCCCAAATCTGGTATCTGTCTGGGTGACATCCTCAAAATATTTAAAGACTCCTACTGCCAATTTCAGTTTCCTCCAGTGGACAAACAAAAGCCAAACATCTTGATTTCACTGACATAGGAATCACATCGACTCACTTTCTGATAGTAGTTTTGCCTTTCCAGAGACATGTGTATCACCTGGTGGCTTCTGCATCTCAATGCTTTGCATGCAGCTGAGACGAGGGATGGAACAAAAAGCCACATCTGGGTCACAATCAGCAGCTGGTCTTCTGTGAGAGAAGGGTTGTGATGGTTTCTTACGTAACGCCACAGTGAGCAGAGGTGAGGTTGTGATGTAGCTTCACAGCACAGGTGAGAGAAGGAAGCCTCACGAGGGATATTGCACATGCAGAACTCTGAACAAACCAGTCTCAGAGTCTCGGCCCTGAAAGTTAGGAACCTGGCAGGTATCTTTCAGGGATATGTCAATTTAACAAAACTCTTAAGACTGAAGAAACCAGGAATGTTAACTTATGAGGCTAGAGGAAGACTCAAAACGTCCAGTAGACTAGACATTTGCATCAGCCTGTGTAGCTTACTTTCTCTTCACAAGAAAAGTATGTGGGGATTCAAATTACTAGAAATTTATTAATGTTCCCAGAATCCTGACCACAGGAGTTGCTTTTACGATTCAAATGTCAGAGTGCTATGTTCCAAGAGCCGGATGTGGCCTCTCACCCAACAGATCTGGTTGGTGAGCAGAGTGTCATGCCAACCCAACAAACACTATGCTCAGTCGGCTTAACACTGCTTCCTTTAGCATTTGGGGTTGCCCTTTTCTGACTGTTCAGTCTGCCTTATAGCCTGACTATTGCCTTCTGTTTACACAATCTTTCTCTTAACAAAATGAACATGACTAGCAATCGACCTATATGCCATTGACTCAATACTGAGTAGACTATTCCTCAGTCACCTTGCTTGGTTAGAATTCTGAGAAGCAGTGGTTCTTTTTCTGTGTTCTGTTGTATAGTTATTGACAATTTGTTCAGCCTTATTTCATTCAAGAAGTATTTACTGAACACTTACTATGTGAAAATAACTAGTTTAGTCCCTAAGAGTATAATGCTATCCCTAGGCAAGACAGAAATGGCCCTTGTCTTTAGAAACTTCAAAGTCTAAAAGAGAAAATAGAAAGTAAATATACCATTAAAAATAAAGTACACTGAATAGTAATGATTGGAAAAGTCCTTGGCACTATTATAGCACCAGGAAAGTTCTCTCAGAAGAGATAATGTTTACACTGACATTGAAGACTGAGGATAGGGGATTTTTTGGGTGGCTCAGTGGTTTGGCCCCTGCCTTCAACCCAGGGGATGGTCCTGGAGTCCTGGGATCGAGTCCTGCATCGGGCTCCATGTGAGGAGCCTGCTTCTC